AATTTAAAGCTTGGACTGCTTTGGAACACAACAAATAGCCTTCTTGTATTTAAGAATATTTTAAAATTTTAACGTTTAACCTTCATTTTACTTAACCCCAATATTATATGATTAAGTTTATTTTTTTACAACTTTTTACTTATTAAAATAATAATACATAGCTGAAGTTGAAGGTTCCGTGGCGGAAATTTGAAAAAAAAAAATCAAAATACAGCCTAAACACAGCACAAAAACAAGTTAAAAACTACGAAATAACAATGAATATATACTCGCCTCAGATAAGTAACTTCGACTGATGGTGGTGATGAAACGCGTAAGACAGAAGATCGCACTTGTTCGTTTTATTATGTAGTGGACAGTAATATATCAGAAAAAAATTTGAGGTAGAGTGTATATGCTATTTAATTTTTTGATTTATTGCCAAATTTGAGGGCTTGTTGCCCCAGTGTGCGACGGCATGATATCGGAAAAAGCAGGGATATACGAACACACACGAAGCATATAGTAAGTGACATTTGCGGATAAGGAAGTGACAGTAGTGACACATGCTATCCGAGAAAGTAAAGTAAGCAATACGTCGCTTCCCAACTGTTTCGAAGGGTTCAAATCCACAGATATTGTGAGTAATTGGATATTTCAAAGGTTTAATAAATCTTATTTTATTTAAAGGTTGAAAGGTCTTTAAATGCGTTGGACTAAATGTGTAAAGCTGAAAGTAGAAAAATTAATACAATTTTCTCCAAAAAGTTTTTTTCCGTCTCGTTCAAAAAGTTGTTTTTTTCCGTCTCGTTCAAAAAAAAACATCCGATCTATCTTCGTAAATATATTGTTGGTGGTTTAAGCAGGCAAGATTCGTTATTTGATATTTATACATGATGGCCACTACTTAATTGAAATATATATAGTGTCAATCCTTAGTTGATACTTTTTTTAACTGTGTTATAGAAGTAATTAAAATAAACAACTTTTTTAAATAAATAAATAAATAAAGGTAAGCAATATTGCGGTGGCTATTGTAAGACCCAATAATTTATTAAAAACGGAGCAGGGAGACCTAATTAGGACTGCACTGCTCGACAGACTAGAAGGACTAGACGAAGGAGGGCTTTTACCCAGGTTCTCTGAAGCTAGAACAAGAAACGGGAGTTTAAACCTTTCTTGCGTTGATCAAGCAACGAGAGATTGGGTTACCGTTAAAAACATGGTACCTTGAGATGGTGCTAAACTCAAAGTCCTAGATTCTGGGGAAGTAATGAAACCCAAGTTTACCATGACATGGATACCGGGATCAGCAGTGGAACCGGACAGAATAATGAAGAGACTAAGAATCCAAAATTATGGGCTCCAAACGGGGAACTGATGGGTTACTGGAAGGAAGTTGGACCCTAGCGGACAGAAAATAATTAAACACCGTTATTTAAAACTGTCTAGAAATGTTGAGGGTAAAATTTTGACGTACTCCTTTAAGGATAACGAGTAAAACCGTTTATTTTTAATTTCCCGCGGTAATGTCAAAAATCAGATCGGCAACACTGCACATGCACATGTCCCTTATTTTTATTACTACTATTGAAAGAAAAAACGTCGTAGGGCAATCAAATACAACAATTTTCTGAAATATTCGATTGGAAGTACCTACAAAAGAATGATGGTGAATCATTTTTTAATCAAATACAATTTTATAAATAATCAAGTCAAAATTAGAAAAAAATCTTATATGTAACACATTACGAAATTCCGTTTTGTGTAACTCGTTCATTTTGCGGGACCTCGCTCCGCTCGTCCCACAAATATTTAGGTACTCGTACATAAATAGCTATTTCTTAACTTTAGTTAACTTTGATCTTTTTGTTCTTGTTTTAAAATTTTTTAAATTTTTTTCGTACTAGCCACGCCATCTACAAGTTTGGAAAAAATTATACGAGCCATACTGTGTAGGTACGCCCATCTTTATTAACTGTAGGCCAATATTCATAAAACGTCAGACAGCATCGTAATCGAACCTACTTGTCACTAGTTACAATATAGCATAATTTTGTTGTATATTTAAAATTTTTGAAGAATAATTTCAGAAGGATGGAGTTTTACGAAATTATGACGAGCCGGCAGAATCAAAATGAAAACTTTTAAATTGTATTTACCGACGAGTTAACTTTTGCATGGCACAATAAACAGTCCATCACTAACGAGATATTGTTCTCAGGAAAATAAAGTATTCCGACATGCACACAGTATCCTCAGAAATTAAATTTTGCACTGGTATTTTAAGGGACTACATTATTGGGCTTTTTTCATTGATGGTAAACTTAACAGTAAAACATTTTAAGATTTAATTCAAAATCAAGTAATTAATTTTCAATTGCAAATAATTTTTAATTTTAGAATCAGGAAATTGGGTAAATATTGTCTTTATTTAACAAGAGAGAACAATACCCCACAATAATTAATTGGAACCTACTTTGTTTCTTTGAGCTAGCATGTCACAGGACAGGTGGTAGGCGTTGCACACAAAGAATAGAGATGGATGTTCACTTGCAGTGCTTACAGCACTATGGCTCGTATAATTTTTTCCTAAAATGATTATTCATTATATTAAGAGAAACTAAAACGTTACTGAAAAGTAACATGTTACTAGTAATTTCGTTGCTTTTTAAAATTGGCGAAAAGTAACGGTAACTCTTTACTTTTACAAGGTAATTCGAAACCGTTACTCCGTAACTCTGAAACGTTACTTCAAAAGTAACGTGTTACTAAAAATTACTCTGTTACAAGTTTGTACTTATACTTTATTATTATATAATCTGTGTTGTTGTTTATTGTACTAAGGTTAGCTTATTATTTATTTACAAATTTGTCTTGTTTGGTGTAAAGTGTTACCGTTGTTTTGTTTTCTATTATTATTTGACTTCTTATAACTATAATTTGTACTTTTATGTTTATTCCGTAGTTTACAATTGCTACACGAAAAACTGTTTACTTTTATTGCTATTTTAAGTAAACATTATTACGTTTTCTGTTGAATAATTGCAAATAATATAACCTTAATTTTTACTTTCTTGTTCTGTTAAATCTAGATAAATAAAAATTTACAACTTTTTTTAATTTATTTCCGAAAATAATGCGTTTTTAGAATTTCGTTACTTTTAAAGTAACACGTTACTGACACTAAAAGTTACTTTAACCTTTAACTGGTCCGGCGTCGTCTGACAGACTACGTGATATAAATAATTATTTCTTATTGGTTATTGGTACCTCCCACAGGCAGGTCCTTACATCTAATCCTTTCCCTATTGTAGCTCGACAGGTAGCCATGTTTGCGACAGGCTGGCGTTAGTTTCCTAAAAGCTGCGGCAGAAATTAGTTCAAGGGTAGTGAACTTTAGCTCATGCTGAAAATGAAATGTTTTTTAAATTTGAATTTTATGTAAATTTTTGTTTACCTAACACTTTGACAATTTAATATTGCAATATGAAAAATTTTTTTTCTTGCATTTTTTGCCTTTAGTATGTACTTTTTCAAAATTTCTGTGCGGGCTTTAGTTTTGGGTTTAATGTTGTTTTTATTTAGTTTTAAATATGTTTATTTTTACATATTACTATTATTAAGTACTGTTTTTAACATCTATGTTAAATAAAACATTTTATTTTGCCTATTTTATTTTTTTTTGCCTCCGAAAACAAGTAGCCTCGCAGACTACGACGGACCAATTACGTTACTGCAGAGTGCCGGACCAGTTAAGGGTTAAGAGTAACGAAATTCTAATACCTTATTTTATTTTTTTTTTTGAAAAGCAATTATTTATTCATTATTTTCCGATTATATAACGCGTTAAGTTGCAGCAAAACTAATTTTTTTAGTAACGATTCCAGGTCGGATTCTATTAGGCGAGTTGTCCACCGAGGATGCATCAAACACGCAACATGCAACATGTGACATAAGGTAAATACCGCGTATAGACTTGTGCCGCATAAAAAAATATAATCACATGGATGTCGTCGGAACTATCGCACACCAGTGCATGTCTAACAACATAAACTGCGTGCGGTATTTTGTGCATGTCTTTTCGCAGTAGTTGTTGCATGTTTGACCGACAGCACAGCGAATATGGCTACTGAAGACCCTTTATAATAATTGTATTGTATAGATACTAACCGTAAAGTTATCAATAAACGTTCTTTTCGGGGCAAATTGCCTGCCGATAATGAGTATCTCGTTTTTCTATCATATGTCCTACCATTTGCAGTAACAGATTAAAGCTTTCTTGACTCATTCTATAAATCACTAAAAAAACTTGGAATTAAGCGTTAATTGCTCTTTTATTAAGCGTTAATTGCTCTTTTGTAACAGAAACTGGGCTATTTACTATATTATTCACAAATAGAAGATGACTCCAGAAACGATGCTATTTTTGTTCTCGTTTGCGTCGTCTTTGCAAATACTGCCAAGCTACTATGATGTCATCCTCCTCGCTTAAAGACATTTTGTTTACTGCAAAACTGCAAATCAGTTTTTGCTGCTGCTATGTGCAAGGTTATGCAACATACAACATTTATTTCATGTCGCATGTTGCGTGTTTAATACATCCTTGGTGGGCAACCCGCCTTATATTTTTTAAATTTGTTGCCTTTTAATGCATAACTTTTAAATACTCGTTTTTGCTTTAATTTAGCCACTTTCTTAAAGAGAGGACTAGTAGTTTTTACTACTATTTTTTAAATTAAAATAAAAACTAAATCCTTAGTTGGTCAAGTCATTTTGTACTTTTGTCCTCTACGTTTTGTTAAGTGTGTTATTTGCTTCTGTAGTTTTTTTAAATTTTATATTTTAATAATATGGTTCACGTATATTAGATAGATGATAACAATACATTTATAGGATAAGGACTATTATAATACTTTTAATAACATCCGTTTCAATTTTTCTTTTAATTTTATGAAAATATTTTCAAAATGTAAACGAAATTCTTTTTAAATTACATATGACTCTATTTGATATTTTAGGACGACTACTTCAGATAGTGCCCATAGTCACTGTATCAACGATTCAATCTGTACAAGGAGGGGTCCAGAATGTCGTCCACCCTGTTGATTTTCAAGCATCCGCACCTTCAAACTTGTATACTGGTAATTTTTTATATTCTTTTAATAGAGAATGTTGGCTCTGTGGTTAGGGTCATGACTTTGAGATCGAGGGTTTCAGATTCGAATCCCGTCGGTGACAGGGTTTTTATTTAATTTAATGAATTAAATATTAATTCTAATGAATTGGTAGGATTCCCAACTCGACCATTTTTTGTTGCGTTTTAATTAACAGTGCTGTTCCTAAAGTGGCGCAGGGAAACAAGCTAATAACTTAGCAGTTGATGCTAATGACAAAAAAAATTTGGGACTTATATACACAAGGAGTTATTAAAATACATTAAATACGGACACGGCGTTTTCGTGTTTTTGTCTCTGCAGTTCAGTTTTTTTTAGCAAGGTTGGCAATCTTAAGTTGATATTGTTAAATATAAAGTATTTCTCATAAATTTTGTTACAAACTGACAAAACCGCTTCAACTGCTTTCAATACTGGCGTTCTAGATTTAAGGTAGGTTAACCATCCTGCGTAAAAAGGAAAATATACCCTTTTTCAAATTTTACAATTAAACGCTAGAATTGGTGCCAATCACTTTTGGACATCAGACACTCTCGTCAATTTTATTTTGTACATGTAATTCCATAACACCTTTCGTCTGCGTGAGTCTGGGCTCAGTATGCATAAATGCATTTCTCATATACACTGATGCTGTATTGGAGGTATTTGTAGATTTGAGAAAGAACCTGAACGTCGTTTGGCTAGAACTAGCACTTCAAATTTCCGTTTAGGAATCTTGACAGTCAATGTCGTTGATAGTCTAACGGTAATGATACACGTCCGCAAACGTGGAAGTCTGGGTTTGACCACCAGCGGCGACATGTTTTTTTTTTTAAATCTACAAGTATTGGGGGATTTTTCGGATTTCGATTTGCGATTTCTCAATAATAATTTCACCATTTTTTATTTTTTGTTTTAGCTGCTGATGGTTCAAGAATAATAGACAATAAAGTGGCTCCACCTGCATATGTCCCTTGATAATACAACACATTTGCATTAATTAAATATACTGATTAAATAAACTTATGTATTTTATTCTTTATATATTAAACTTTGTACTCTAAAACAACGCTAATTTTAGTCTGATTATTAATGTAAATCATTATCAAAAGGCTGTTAAATAAATGTAAGAACCCAGAGATACTAATAAAATTTAAGGTGGAGGAAATGTTTATTTTTATTTTGTAATTGATATTCAAATATTGATACACCTAATTAAACAAATCAATCAATTGTGGAAATGTCCCAATAGCAAACAGATTAGTCAATTATTATTCTTGGAAAAATACTGATGTTGGTCTTTATCAATTTTGGGCTAATAAAAATTATCAGTAATGCCAATAATTTATTTTGTCAAAATAAAGCAAAGTAAGGACAAAATACCACAATAAACGTATGAAATAATTTAATTATGTTAGTAGAAAAATATATATTTTTTTTAATAAAAAAAAATTAATTTGACTTTATTTCAAAATTAAACAAATGTCACAATACAAAAAGGTCAACAGTAAATCTACGAAATTCGGGCGATTCTAAATTCAATGATCTCTGTATATCCTCATACTCATATTCCCCATGTCTTAATCCCAATTTGTATCTACAGTATCTTAAAAACTTATTCTGAACAGCTTCAACAGACGAAATATGGACATTGTAAAAAGGTGTCCAGATGGGCAACCCATATTTGAGCAGGGATCTGACATATCTGACTGAATTTATCGAGAAACCACTAGTTTCCCAGTATAAATCCAAGAGTTTTTAAAGCTTTACCAGTGATCTTATTAATATGTAGGTTAAATTTCAGATTCTCATCGACAAGCACTCCTAAGTATTTTATCTCAGTTACTCTATTGAGGACTGTACCGCAAATAGAATAATCGAAGATTATTTTGTTGTGCACCCTACAAAATGTTATCTTGTAACATTTAGAAATATTGAGAGACATACAGTTTTTCACATACCAATTAAGAAGAGCTTATATATCAATTTGAAGAAGAAGGCAATCAATTATATTACGAATAGCCATGTAAAGTTTTAGGTTGATTAGGCTAAAAAGTAGAAACTTGGCACATTTGAAAATACTACCTATGTCATTAAAGAATAGTAGAAACAACAAGGGCCCTAAGTGAGAGCTCTGTGGGACTTCAGAAGGCACCACAATATGTTCTGAAGTACTGCTGCCATGAAATCAAAGGATCAAGAAAACCTAAAAGATTAAGTTTGTGTAATAATAATAACTGTTGATTTATCTCTGGAAAAACCTGCTGCTCATCAAATTATTACAATACCAAGGTGCGTATGCTTGAAAACGAGAGAAAGTGAAACTCCCGGTGAGTATAATCACTTTATTTTCACTTTCCCAAAAAATTGGTATTCTCGAAATAATGCGAAATCCAAGGGAGGAAAAAGTGGATGGTGAAAATAAACACAGAGTTGCAGGATCATCTGACCAATTAAAAACTAGGAACGTTTGACAGCAAATTACACATATTAGTTTGTTCGCGGGGCCTGTCGGCAGTATGTCCACGACAGATGAGCATGCACATTTCGCTGTTTTAAGCGTTCGATTTTTGGCTCTACGAACACTTAATAAAATTAACAAAACGGATTCTTGACGTTTTCATGTATAAACATTTTAAAATGCTTATTTTCATTAAGCATAATATAAATGTACGTTGTAAATGGTCTTTTTTTCATAACTTTCAAACCAGAAATTCGAATCTTTTGACAATTCAAGTTTGAAACCCCTTTTAAATGGACTTAGGCTTAAAACTACAACCACCTTCCTAATAATTAAAATTATTTTCAAAACATGAGTCCAAATAATTTTAAAAGATGTATGTGAAGCAGTTACTATTGGAAACGGAGTATTAAGGTGTATGGGGATAGTTTTCTGATACTACCTTTTATAATTAAAACAGTTGCCTGACGTTTTTTTCATTTTGTCTAACACTTATCTGCAGATATTTGTTAATAGTTTATTTTATCTTGTGTGTTCTTAATGTTTATAGTATTTTAAGTATAGGTACATTTTTATATCTTACAGAATAAATAAATGTTATTGTTAATATTTTTGCTTCCAAATCCATTTTAAAAATGAGGGGTGGGTGGCTCAGTGGTAGAGTCTCTGCCTGCGGATCCAAGGGTCCCAGGTTCGAATCCCACCGTTGGCCGGGATTTTTTATTTAATTTCATTATTTAAAATTAATTCTGAGGCCTTGGTAGGATTCCCCATTCGACCATTCACTGTTGGGTTCTAATTAACAGTGCTATTCCTAAAGTGGTTCTGGGAAACAGTAACAAAGCCTACACAGAACACGAGGCTAATGACCTTAGTAGTCGATGCCGATGACCCAAATAAAAAAAAAGTAGGTAAAAGCAAATATATAAAGATACTTCTAACAACATAAATGAGGTTATGGTTATATTTTGATTTTATTAATTTAAATTCCGATACGCACTGCATCGATGCATGCTTATGAATTGAATTCTCTCGTTATTTTCATTTTCTCTACCTAAAAGTAGGAGAAAGTTTGGAGAGAAAATGATCCACCAATTTTGGTGAATTCGATGCAAGGGAGTAGAAAGTAAAAATTTTCTCTCAATATTTCTCTCTCCCCAATTTTAAGAATAGACATCCAAGAAAAATCACAGGCAATTAATTTTTCAAAAAGTTATATACATTTTCTTGGAGACACATAGATGCATCTGTATGTATCTCATTATGATCTGTATATTTATTTATATATAATTTTAAAACTATCTCAAGACTCTTAGAGCCCTATTACTACAATGTTTTAAATTATTTCTATACTTTTTTAAATAATTCTTCAAACAAGTTATAGTTGTTAAAGATACATGTATTACATTCTTTTGAAAACAATTTATTTTTGATATTCTTTTTATTTTGCCTGGTAGCATATTATAAATTTTTGGTGCTAAATGATTTAAAAAATGTAGGTTAATGTTTCTGAGACTCACTGAAATACTATTTTTTTATTTACTTTATTTCTTATGTGATATTGATGATTTACAATGTTTTGTATGCTTTTTCCGTATTTGAAATTTACTTAAAATTCTTTTGAAACCTTAACTTTTCTTTTGCCTTTTCAGGCATCCCTCTGCTCTCTCTGAGGGATTCCAGCAGACTTCCCCAATCAGACTTGGGTTCGGTCACTGGCTTCCCTCAATCAGGCTGTCCTACTGCTTCCCATTCTTCATACATTCATTCCACATCATCGATGGTTAACCGCTAGTCGGCTAAGTCCATCGGTCACACATCCAAAACATGATCAGAGACATCACTGAACTGCTGCAGGAACATGAATGCACACTAGTCTCGTGGCTAGCCTCTCTGGCTTTTGAAACCTTATCATCGATATGAAAAATACATAACCCAACTTACCTGAATAAAATGTACAATAACAGTCATATCATGCTCCCTATTCCCTCTACCCATACTTTTAGCCATTTCTTGTATTTGTTCATACTCTATAGTTGGTTCTTCTTGTGGTTTAACAACTTTCTCTGTACTTTTACTCGCCTCGGAATCTTTAAGCAAGTCAATAAGATAGGCCTGATCAACTTGGTCCATGGCTTCTTGAAAATCATTTCTGAAACCCTAGAAAAACGTAATTTTATCTAATCTGAAAATGTACAAATGTAAATTTATTATACCTTGTTAACTTCAGGTTCTAGCAGTTCGCATTTTCTAAGCCTATTAAATGCATCGGTTTCTGACTCCCCGAAAAGCAAAATCGGTTCTGTTCTGTCCCTAAGTCTGGTTATAACTTCTTGCCTGGGCAAAATACTATGTTGGACGTTTGACTCAACTTCCTCTCCTTTAACAGTCGAAGAATTTTTACTGGCTTCATTCTGTGCATAGTATTTTTTACGGTACTCTTCTTGTTCTTTTGCCATTAGTTCACCTCGTTTGAAGTACTTTTTATCGGTCCCCTGTAAAGAGTTGATTGTTTTATTGTAATATTACTTAACTGTTTTAATTTGACTTACTAATAATTCTTTTTCCTCCAAAGATTTTCTTTTTCTTGCTATTTCAGCTTTTAAAATATCCATTTTCTTTCATTTATATAAAAATCTACAATAAAAACAACTTTGGCCTTGGACATGAACTGAAAGCTGCCAATGTCAATTAAATGACATCTGACAGTAAGTGGTTGTGTCTCTAGTTAAGTAATACGTATCTGGAGAAAATAAATACTTTCAGTGTTGACGTCACCGATCGGTATAGTAGTGGTTGTGGTTGCATGCATAGTGCGTCCGACACCGATCGATTTCGCATGTTAGTCTTTACGAAACCAGGAGTGCGTTTAGAAACCCCGCACGGCGCGTCTGGACCCTATTTTAATGCATGTGGTCAGACGCGCCGTGCGGAGTTTCTAAACGCACTCCAGTACTGAGATTCCAAATCAGTGCGAAATGCGAAATCGAATCGCTTTCGATACTCGCAACCAAATACGATATCGAGAAATTTGCTATTCCTATTCGCTATCGAATTGCCCTGCGTTTTGGTCGATTCCAAAACTCGTAGTATTCGTAGCAAGCATGCGCAGTACGTGTTTTAATTGTCAACAATGCCATCCAAACTGACGGCATATAATAGGAAATTTTAATTTGTCTTTGTAAAGGAATGGTTATGCACACAATTTAATTTAACGCAAGAGCAGCAAATAAGAGTATGTATTCCTTATCAGGTGATCACAGTTAGCCAATAGCAGGGCTTAATTCTTAAATTACGTTAAATTAAATTCGTGCATAAACCCACCATAATTACCTATAATAATAGTTTGGTGCTGTTTTGTTTCAATTTAGTTAGTTCAGTTAATTAGGTACTTACATTATTATTTTTTGAGGCAGACCTTTTACTTATATTCTCAAAATTCTTAAGAACTTCTTATACCAATGACATAGAATAATCAACAATAACAATGCTTTAAACTGTTTAAACTTCAACTAGAAATCACAACCACTACAAGGCTACAACCTCTAGAACCACGTGCTATAACCTCAATAATCTACCGAAATCGAGCAATTCGACACCATAGAGCTGGCGAGTGACTCGCAATCGTTTTAGTCGATGCGAGTATGATTTTTTGCAAATCGGAATTCACCAAACCGTCGAAATCGAGTATTTCGATATCGAATTGTCAATGGGAATCTGCCTGGGGGTCGATTCTCGACTCGTAGGAATATTTTCCTATAGGAATTTTTGACATTTTTATATACATCGAAAATTTATGACAGTTTCCTACATATAGGAAAGTGTCACAAATTCCTATAGGAAAAGGTTCCTACAAGTCGAGAATTGACCCCCTGGCCTGTAATGAATTTAGCACTACAGTGAGACATACTAGGTTTGTTCTGGTTCTCAAAATGAAAACTGTTTTGAAACTGCGCCGGACCGTATGCGTAAAGGCAAAAAATCCCCGACTGTTTGAAATTCTTGGAAAACCAGAACACGTCATGAAGGTGTTTTGTTTATTGTTTATTATAATAATGAAGTTCCTTTTGAAAGCTCAGCTTCAAATAACATTTGCATGTATATGTTTATCATTATCATCACATTTCAATGGAATAAATAAAAACAGAATATTAAAAAATTAATAATTCTAAAATTGCTTTAATTTACAAATAAAACAAGAACAAGAGACATTCGTCCACATATAAATAAACAATTTGGGATTGTATACGTTTCGTATGGTCTAAAAAGCCAATACAATATTCATAACACTTCAAAAACGCATGCGCGGTCAAAACAGTCCGAGTCGATCCACACTCCCAAGCATGAACACTTTTTGACTGTTTACAACAATCACGGATTATTTCGGATACGAAACCAGAACACTGGACTGAGAGATCCGAAGTAGTCCCAGAAAAACCAGAACACTTTTTATCTACTACGCATGAGCCCGACAGTTGTGGATCGTTATTTCTCAAAACCAGAACAGACCTATTGACTTATGTTTGACAGCGTGGTATTTAAGGACATACATTTTAAAAATTTTGATTAGTTTTCGATTGAGTAATTTGGTCGGATTCACATTAGTAATCTATGGATATATAGAAATGTACCAGATCCGTCATTTTGTTTTCTTTATTTAGCACTTAGCATCTATACCTTTAATAAAATAGTCTAAAATCTCTGTCTTCGATCGATGTCAGTAAGCAAAAAATTCTTGGCCAGGTGCGCCTGATATCGATCGGTATCACGCGTCAAAAACAAATAAGGATCATCATATTTATTTATGTCATAAATATGAAGACTACTCAGTATTAGTTTAAATCTACAAATACACAAATTTTTGTTAGTATTTGAGTATGTGTGCTTATATAACTCATTGTTATTGATTTATTTTGTATAATTAGTTTTTGTTCTGTTTTTCAAACATAGTTTTATCTGAACATTTAAGAAGTCTAGAGCCTAAATCTTTGTGGGTCTTTCGAGCAACTGGGGTCCTATATCGAAAATAACGCGGTTAATGTTGTCTTCCAAGTCAAACGTCAGACAACTCAAAGTAGTGAAAAATATCAATTAAAAAAATGTACAATACACATATTTGATTAGATACCTCACTTGGCATGACCCATTAGCTCAGTCAAATTTACATTTCGCGACTTGGTTCAATTTACGATGAATTATTGTTGTTTATTTGTTTTAAATACATTTTATTTAGCATTTTAATAAAAATAATAATTATATTATTATTATGATATGTAAAATGTATTTTAAACAATAATAGTATGAATTTTTCAAAAATTAGAAAAATAGATTCATTGTGAATTGAACCGCGTCGCAAAATGCAAATTTGACTGCATGTTGAATGCTTAACAAACTCAGCTAGCGAGTCATGTCAAGTGAGTTATATAATTAAATATGTGAATAGTAATTTTTTAGCCGATCGTACCACCTTGCAGCTTTTATAATATCTGGTTTGCGGCGTAAACTAGCAAACTAAAATATCCCTACAAGAAATATTCCAAAGATGTTACATCACACGATCTTGGAGCCAATTCACAGGTCCATTACGCGAAATTAGGCACTCATCGAATGTTTCATTCAATAAATTGATTGTGCTGCCGTTGTGCGGCATGTTGTGCCGTCTTATAAAACCACAGGTTTTCCACATTAATGCCATTCAATTAGGGAACGAAAAAGTTTAGCTTCGTTCGCGGTAAGAATCCTGGACCGAATTATTACTGATAGTAACGATTTCGCAGGCGCAGTTGTTAAGAAGCGTTCGCGGAACAAAAAGGACTGAACTGTTGGTTATATCCTGCGATCGTGGTAAAATTATTATTGGTTTTGAACCCCCTGTGTTATACCTGGAACAACGAGATAGAATATGAATTGCGCGTACTGTAAAAATTCAGAATTGATAATGAATCGGGCATGCGCTGAATCAGTTCAGGATTGTTACCGCGAACAAAGCTAGATACACAGCGCTCTTAATTGACTGTAATATTCTGACTGGCATAATTTTTAAAGAAAAATTGACCAATGATTTCGCCAGCCTATAAAAGAGTCAGTGTTGGAAAATTAACGTATTATAATATAATGCATGTTACAAAAATTACAATTGCGTTATATAACTATGGTAACAAAGATTATATCAATTTATATATCTGAGTGATATCTACATTAAAGTAGCTCCATAATCCATAGAATACTTAGGAGCATACCAAATAGAAGAGGACTACCTATCTTGAAGCCATTTTCTTAAGAAGATAGAGTAAGGGTCGTTGTATCGATGCATTAACGACAGAAGGGAAACAATAGATCTTTTTAGGTCGCAGTGTATTAATAACCTATAGGGACCGTGCGTGAAATATAGAGGCAGCACTACTGCCGAACTTAGCCCTCTCTAGTGTTTAATTTTAGAATTAAATGGGGTAAACATTGCAAGTAAATAATGAAGGGTATTTTTTTAAATATTAAATATAGTTAAAAATAGATACCGGCCCGTACCAAACAATCGTGTACATGGTCAAAATGACGTAAAATGTGAAACATTATTAAAATCTGGACATGCATATACATTTTAAGCAAAAAGATTTAAATGGCTAAGTGACAATAAATTGTAAAGTTGTACCTTAAACAAGTGTATCCAATGTTAAAATATAGGTATTTAGTAACACTGAATTTAAAAGTATTACAATAACATTTAAAAAATGTAAATTAATAAAAAAGATTGATAATAATAATTACAAATCTTTTTAGCTTTATGTTAATCGAAATGTCATTCATCCACTGGCGTTTATGAGATGTTCAATGATACATATATTATAGATTGCTCACCCAACTATAAAAAAATTATGAAAAGCTGGTTGCAATGTGCCTTTCCTAGTGCTCACTAAATAGAGCCGTTCTAGCCCAAATGTGTTAAAATAAAATTTCAGCATTTTAATCTTTAGAAAAAGATAATAATTAAAGTTTTACTTCAAGATATGTCATTATGTATTTGGAAAGTTGAGTTTTCATGTAGTTAAATAATATTAAGAGATCTAAACAATTTTTATAACAGATGGATATAAATAATTTTAGACTACTATTTCAGAAACAATTCTACATAAAATACATAATTGCAATATGTAATACAATTTTGAAAAGGTAATGTAAACAATTTTGATATGAGGTATGAACAACTTTGGTAAGAGTTGTAATTGGACACTTATCTATTCTGAATAATGTTTAATGGTAATGTCACTAAAAAAATTTACAAAAAATCACTGGATTTTTAATATTTTAAAGTTTGTTACAATCTCTTTTGACAGTAATTGCAATGTATTATTTATGATTTGTTTATTTTAATAATAAATGAGAAATAGTTAATAAATTGTAAAGAGGGCCGTGATATTTTTGTCAAATTGGATATTCTTATTTCATAACATTCTACATTAGTTTTAATCAACAGAATAAACCATTATCTGTAAAATTATATTTATATAAAATGGTCATTTAAATATGTAAAAATCTTAATGACAAGAAAACACTAAAGATTCTAATTTTTCTGTAAATGATTTCTTTACAACTAAGTGCTCAAAATTGATACAAGCTAGATAAAAAGAAAACTTTGCCCAGTGAAATACGCTTTTCGTCGTCTGATTTACATATGGATAAGCAATCTTTGTAATTATGTATATCATTGGGTGTGAGGCATAATTGTGCTCTGTGGAAATTTATAAAATTTCTTTACTATCGAATGAAATCCAGGTTTCTAAAGTGATGTGTTTGTACATCCACGGATGCAACAAGTTTTTTCGATATTGATATTACGAAAATAATTCGACTTCATTTTATTAATAATTATTAAACAATAAATGCCGTATAAAACATTAATAAATACCCCCCAAAAAGTTCGTATTTTTGTCACCAGTTAGCGTTAAAGTCATGACGCACGGTCCCTATATCCAACATAACATAATATACATAAAAGTAACAATTGTCACTAAATTATTTCGTACGAAATGTTACTGTGTTGGCTACCGAACGCTTTAGCAAACTATTGGAAATTGTTCAATAGCCGAGACTATGCTAATACTACGATGATAGTGAGTGTTCTGTGTTTTGTGGTTTAACCTTCATCATGTATGGAATTTGAGAATAATCATTCTCAAAACAACAAGGAATTTTGTTGTGTTTACGGTTGCAATTCACAGGTAAAAAGAAGCAGACAATTAAGTTTTTTTTCGTTTTCCAAAAGCTGGTGATAGTAGAAAACCTACGATTACAAATTAAATGGGCAATACTGAGAACCTAGACAAGAAAAAAGTATTAATATCTTATCTAAAAGTAGTAAAGAATCAATCTAAGATTTTTTAAGTGAATACGTTTTTAATAAAATTGGTAATATTTTAATATGAATATTGTTCCCGATACAAAAAGGATAGTGCGATTCCCTCAAAAATTTTGCCATATGGAAGCTTGTGGCAATATTTTTAAACGTAAATATGCAAAATAACGATTTCCAAAATTTCAGAAAAATGAGGAAACCGAATAAGAAATTAAAATATTTACATTTATTGTTGTATGCCTATTTATAAAACTAATATATTACATGTATAAAAAGTAATGTGTATATGTGCTGTAATAATGACGTTATGCAATGTTATAATAATTTTATGTTATAAATATGTATTTCATGCACATGAACATTACATTGCCGCTACTTGCCACATTAGCCACGGCTACTTATCCAAACTTGAGATGTAGTAGTAGGGATGCGTCAACCTTCCCATTATTGGTCTGTAGACCAATCATATTGCCTATTCTAACTCATCTGATTTGTCTAGGAAGTGGGTCTTTGTTTACGTTTTTCTGAAGTACATAAATAAAAACAGTGAATTTTCAATTTTCATAAATCAGTTGTTTGCAGAGTTGTGAGGAGTTAATTTTATTATATATTTTTAATTGGTAAGATAATTTATTATTTAAAAGTAAAGTTTAATAGTAAATTTATTTAGAAAATATATATTATTTCTATTTGATTCAATTTATATCTAAAATTAGCTTAATAAAAGCTTGCATTGTAGTTTGATCAATTATTATATTATTCAATTATTCAAGTTTCTTATTTCGCTTAGTCATCATTTAATACTAGGGTACATTGTTAAATAGAAAATCATTGACTGTTAATTTTTGTAGGGTGTAGTCTAGACAATGAAGCTGTTACTACTTTTTGTTGCCTTTTTTGTGGGAACACAAGCCGTTTCTTTCTTCGATTTGGTTCAGGAAGAGTGGACCTCATTCAAGGTTAGTTTTTTATTGTTAGATGTGTGTGGGTATTATTAATTTATAATTTATTATTAACAAAATTGGTGTTTGTGTGTAAAATAGTACTTACCTAGTGTTTTGTAGAAATATTCGAACAATTTTTATTCCTTAATTTTTTTATAAAATTTTTTGCAGTGTTTTTATAGGTATAAAAATACGACGAATTGGTTATCTAGTTTGACTCATTTTCGTTTATGAAAAAAACTTAGATATCACTATTGTAAACAAAAAATCTTAATTCCATCTTGTGCAAATTAATATAATGACAATTTTTTTAAACAAAAATATTTCACAAAATGTCTAAAATCAAAGGTCAGTCTCAGATACTATTATGTCTTATGCTTTGCCAATCGCACAAAAAGTTTACTATCTTATTATTTTATGTCAAATAGTACAGACATTTGTTTCTAAACATTTTCATTGCTGTAACAATATTTTATAATAATTGACATTGTTTAGCCCACCCAGCACCCTTTTCCATAAAATTGTTAATATTGGCAAATTTTAATTTAAAAAAATTGGGTCATTCTTTATTTACACAAGATATTTGATACTTGGGTTTTTTCTACTGCACTAATAAAGTGAAATTACTATAATTGTAATATGTATAAGGTAAAATCAAATTTCCAATGTGCCAATCAATGTTTAAATCATTATCAAATACCTATACAATACCTAGCATTTAGCTAGGTATATTTTTGAAGAATATTTTACTATAGGAAGACATAAAACTCAAAATATTTTTGATAAATGATAAATTAATTTGCCATCGACATTATTTACTTTTTACTCTATTGTTGTTGCCTTTTAATTGTTGAACTTTGTATCTACATATCATAAAACAACCTAGCATGTGGTGGCAACATTTTGATGGAAACGTCTAAAAACAAAGGAAGATAATTGATTGAAAGAGTCTAAACCCGATAATATGCTATATGGGTCAATTTGTTAATAAAATATGTATAAGAAGATAATGATTGATAACCTTTTGTGTTATGTTATGCGTAATTTCAAATATTTATGTAGATTGGCTATACATTCTAAAAATGTTTATTTTTTTCTAGAATAATGTGGTGATGAAATAACGAACCATGTTTAAAACATACATACCACTTTATAATATTCAATATTGAAAAGTTCATCAAAAATATAATTTCAAAATTTGTAAACATGAGTTTAGTGATGAAATCAAGCAGAACCTGCGTACATGATAATTTGAATGTCTTTATTTTGAATTTTATGCAGACATTACTTAATAATTTCACATTAGACATCTTATATCTATGCTAATGTAGTGACAATTTGTATTGCAGTTTTTGAGGAATTAATCCAAATATCACAAAAAATATCAGACTTCAAATCTGGGACGATTTTTTTTGTTCATTTCTGTAAAGAAACACTTTTTGATAATTTTAATGTTTTGCTTCTGTGGGTAAATGTATTTATCTTTTTAATGCCAAAGAAGCACCAACGGAATTTTTAGTTAAATCCTATCCCATATTTGTATGCTACTTTAAGGCTATTTTTATAACCTATTCAAAATTTTTATGATCCTTGTTTTTTTTTGAAAAAATCAAGGTGTTCTGCTAGCTTCAAACGAAGTCAGCAGAGTCAGTTTTTTTAGTTTTTTCTTCTTCTAAAAATAGCACAATATTTTTAGGCTATTTTTAGGCTCTTAAAATATTATAAAAATTGGTATTTTTAAAAAATACGCTTTGCTAGCTTCGAACGAAGCAAACAGCGCACCTTGATTTTTGAAAGCCTCCTTTTCTAAAAACAGCATTATATTTTAGGCTATTTTTAGGCTCTTGAAATATAATAAATTCGAAAAAATTAGAATTTTTAAAAAATACAGGGTCCTTTGCTAGCTTCGAACGAAGCCAGCAGTGCACCTGCTTTTTTAAAGTTTTTTTTCTAAATAAATAGTACAGGGGGCTTTGTTGAAACAAATTCAGCAGAGCACCTCGGTTAATTAATTTCTTTTTCAGAAAACTACGCATGCCACATTTTTAGGCTCTTAAAATATTATGAAACTTTTTGAAACAAAGGAGAATGGGCAGTTTTGCCCCACCTCCCAATAGGAGTAAGATATATGCCAAATGAAAGATATCGTTAAGGACAACATTTGTTTTTATTACGACTTCTCTCAATTTTCTCTCCGTTCCAAGTTATCTACTTAAGTTGAAACCATATATGGATAACTTTATTTACTCTTGATTTTGTGAAAAAATGTATTTTTGATAAAAAATTCTGCATGGTCCAAAACTTAAAATACAACCATCAGATATTAATTTTTTTAAGCCGTATACGAGGTTTGTCAAAAAATGTGAATTTTACTAAAGTGTAAACTACCTTATTTTTATACCTTTATATATTTTTTTAAATACAGGTTGTTTTGCTAGCTTCGAACGAAGCCGGCTTAACACCTCGGTTTTTTAAAGCTTTTTTCTAAAAACAACCACACCACATTTTTAGGCTTTTGAAATAATATGAAACTTCTAAAAAATTGTAATTTTTAAATAATATGTATAGAGTTTGCTAGAAAGAAGCCAGCAGAGCAACTAAGTTTTTAAGTTTTTTTTTTTTTCTAAAAACTATTCCACCTTTTTTTGGCTATTTTTTGGCTATTTTTTGGCTCTTGATATATTATAAAGCTTTTCGAAAAAAATTACTAAATACAGTGTGCTTTGCTAACTTCAACCGAAGCCAATGTGTTTTTAAAGGGCTTATAAAAGCAACTATGCCATATTTGTAGGCACTTGAAATTATATAAAATATTTTTAAAAAAATCAATATTTTTAAAAAAACACGTGGTGCTTTGCTAGCTTTGAACGACCCAACAAAGTACCTTTTTTTAAGTATTCTTCTAGAAATATATACACCTAATTTTTAGGCTATTTGTAGGCTCTTGAAATATTTTAAACATTTCGATAACATTTGCTATTTTTGAAAAATACGGGGTACTCTGCTATAATTTTTTTTTAATAAAATTTTATTATATATCACGAGCCTAAAAATGTGGTGTGGTTGTTTTTAGAAAAAATCTTTAAGAAAACGAGGTGCTCTGCTACATTCGTTCGAAGCAAGTAAAGCACCCTGTATTTTTTTTTTCAAAAATTTATAAAATTTTAAGAATTTAAAAATAGTTTAAAAATGTGTTATAAATAGTTGTTTTTAGAAGAAGAAAAAACAATAATAAACCGAGGTACTCAGCTAATTTTGTTCCACCAGAACATCCTGTAATATTTAAAAACATAATTTTTTTTAGAAAAGTTTTACAATATTTCAAGTGCCTACAAATAACCGAAAAATGTGATGTGTTTGTCTTCTAGAAAGAAGCTTTAAAAAACCGAGGCGCTCTGCTGACTTCGTTCGAAGCTAGCAGAACACCTTAATTTTTTCCATTAGATTTTTGAATAGGGTATAAAAATAGCCTTCAAATATCCTAAAAATATGGCATAGGTTTCAACTTAAAATTCCTTAGGTGCTCTGCTGCCTTCTTTGGCATATCTTTAATAAATATATATATATATATATAGTAGATCTAGCCAGTAATTGGTGAAGAAAAAATTCTACAAAAACACCTTTATTTAAGAGCAAACTGAACACCATGAAAATTTCTAATTCCTTCTGAGCCTTTATTTTTAGCCAATTTTTGTGAAATTTTCAGGAAATATCAATAATAACCTTCGAAAAGTATTTATTTTTATATTTTTTAAAATGAATTAAAAAAAAAATTTACGCGCCATTTTGTATTAATCTATGAACACTTGCCGTTTTTAAGCTATTGCATAGCTTTTATCGCGGGCTTTGAGCGTGGCGACCGAATCAAAAAAAAAAAAAAACGAAACCGTAATGAAAAAAAACCTAACACCCCCCACTCCGACCGGCACAGCGGTGCGGCATTAAACAATATTAACTTCTCATTTTTCCAATAAAAGAAAATCGAAAAATCGAAATTCGAAAAATCGAAATTCGAAAAATCGAAATTCGAAAAATCGAAATTCGAAAAATCGAAATTCGAAAAATCGAAATTTGAAAAATCGAAATTCGAAAAATCGAAATTCGAAAAATCGAAATTCGAAAAATCGAAATTCGAAAAATCGAAATTCGAAAAATCGAAATTCGAAAAATCGAAATTCGAAAAATCGAAATTCGAAAAATCGAAATTCGAAAAATCGAAATTCGAAAAATCGAAATTCGAAAAATCGAAATTCGAAAAATCGAAATTCGAAAAATCGAAATTCGAAAAATCGAAATTCGAAAAATCGAAATTCGAAAAATCGAAATTCGAAAAATCGAAATTCGAAAAATCGAAATTCGAAAAATCGAAATTCGAAAAATCGAAATTCGAAAAATCGAAATTCGTAAAATCGAAATTCGAAAAATCGAAATTCGAAAAATCGAAATTCGAAAAATCGAAATTCGAAAAATCGAATAGTCGAAAAATCGAAAAAGAAATTCCATAACGAAAATAAACCTAACACACCCACTCCGACCGGCACAGCGGTGCGGCGTTGAAAGCCGTGCATCGTCTAACGTCGTTTCAGTTCGGCAGACTTCGGCACGGTGTTTGTGTGCTTGCGACTAGACCTTAGATTATACAAACCTTAGATGGAACATAAGACACTGCGCATAATCCCATTTCGAAATTATTCACACCCACCAATCACAGTTGAGAAAATCACATGTCAAAGCGTTGTCCATCCAAATTTAATGTGTCGACGAGAATTAATTTGGTATTTTAGGGACTTAAATTTTGGAAATTAACGTTGAAAATGCCAATATGTGTTGTAAAAAGCTTTATTTATAATAAAAGTGCGAAAAGTGACGGAGATAAAAGAAACTTACATTTATTTCGGTGAGTTATTGAATTTTTAAATATGTCGACGGCCATATTTGTTGATTTGAAAATAAACAGAATCGGACTTGGTCATTGGTACATGTTATAAGTAGCAAATAAAGGTTATTATTATAAA